CTCACTTCCTGTCTAGGCTGGGTTCTCTAGAGAAGCAAAACCAGTAAAGCATATAAATATATATATAGAGAGATTTATATCAAAGAAACAGCTCATGCAATTGCAGAGGCTGGAACGTCCCAAGTCCATGGATAAGGATAGACGCCCCTCCTGAATCACGTAGCCCCAGGGGCTGGCGAACCCAAGATCAGCAGGTTGGAAAGCAGGACTCCGCTCACAGGATCGGCAGATAAGCTGATAGGTCAAGTCCCAAGAACAAGAGGTCAGATGAACAGGAGGCAGCCGCAGAATCCACAGCAAGCAAAAAGCCAGAACGTCTGCTTATATTCAGATGCAGGCCACACCCCCAAGGAAACTCCCTTTCCACTGATCGGCTTCTCACAGCATATTCAATCATGGTAGTGATTACATATGAACACTTAGAATCATGGCCCAGCCAAGGTGACATACAATCTTAACCATCACACCTCCCAAACACCTCTCTGACTTTCCCTGATGCCTATCAGCTCCTTATATTCATACTCTAGCTCTCAAGCCTATGTTTTATACATTATGACAAAGTTAGCAATTCCCTGTGACATACTTTATATTAACAAAAGCATATGTGGGTAGGTGTGTGTATGGGCAAATGTGCCTGTGCATGTGAGTGAAGTTGCAGTGAGTTTTCTTTTTGTTTTTTGTTTTAAAAACGGCCATAAACTTTATTAAAAGTAAGTAAATGTAACATATAATATGTACAGACAGCACATAGTGCCAATTTTATTTGCAGATATATAGTATTCCAACTCAAGTTCACAAGTTACACCTTTGCCACAGCCTTGGCTAGATCTTGAACTAGTGCAGAATTCAGCTGTGCTAGAGTGCTGATCTTAGCATGTTTAGATGTGGCATACTTGTTCTTGATAGTCATGTGCTTTGTAAGCCCTTGATTCACCATGACTATATTCTTAGCCAGGTGCTGCATAACAAGAAAAAGAGATTCTTCAGTCTATGACAGGTAATGCTGCAGAGTTGGTGTCCATTCACCATTATCGAGAATTTTCAGTGCCAAGCAAAAAGCTCCTGCTGCAATCTGAGAAGGAGGAAAGTGTACCATATTGTAGTCCAACATAGTTAGTTCCATCAAGTATTTGGCCAAAGTATGTTGCTCAACATCAACCTCTCCAATCTTGGATGCTCTCCGAAGGAAGTGCAGGGGCAGAGGGCGACCCAGACCAAAGTTTAAAGCTTTTAGAATCTTCATTTCCATCTGTCTGATCTGGTGCTTAGTGTAAGTGTGGTCAGTCACAAAGGCAAAGTCACCAATTTCTGGAGGATACATTTCTTCATATTTGCTTGCAATAAACATGGCAGTGACACCAACCAGCTGCCACATCTTCATGGGAACGAAATTATTCTGCATGAACCGATCAATGATGGAAACAGTCATGTACATGGTTTCCTGCAGCAGCCTGAATTTCATTTGAACCTGCACTAGCCAGTCAATTAGGATGGCTCTCATGTTTCCAGTGACTTCCCGACCCACTAGGTATTTTGGTCTGACTGCTTGCTCTTCCTCAGGTTTTCTCAGATAAGCATAGATATCTTTCACATATTCACTACAAAGGTGTGGATCAGCTCCATCTTCTGCATCCACATCACTCACTGCAAGAATTACATCAGAGAAAGCCTGACACAGATATTCTTCTGCAGGGGCACATCCAGATGTTTCCATTGGACTTGGAGAGGGATTATCCACCAAAATAGGCTCAGGCAAAAGCTTTTCCTCTTTAACAGGCTCAGGTTCTAGCTCTGGATCAGGCTCAGGCTCATGCAAAGGTGCCTTTTCCAGAGGTTTTGGCAGTTTTTTGGCAATAACTTTTCCAGCAGCTGAAATTTTTGTTTCCTTTTTCAGAGGCATTTTGGCCTGTGGCTGTTCAGTGACTTTGTTACCAATGTCTCCAAGAGCTATTCTTGGCCTCAGCCCGGGCTTGGACACTGCAGCAGTGGCCACAGGCACTCGCTTGGCGCCTGCCATACTGGTCTTCGCTTTATTTTCAGCATTAATTTTCGTGTTCCTGGTGACTTGAAGTGCCATGGCTTCCTCTTCACCAGGCAGCAATTCAGAGGGAAGAAGCAGAACTCGGGAGCCTCAGACAACCCGGGGACCAAAAGCTACCACTGAGCAACAGCCGTTCCACCACAGTGAGTCCTGCAGCGAGTTTTTTGTGAGGAGAAAATGCACATGATTTCAGTTTCATTTCTGCACATACACCTTGTTCATCTTAAAGGAGAACAAAACATATTTTGATATCAAAGAGTCTTCTCAGATAGCAGCCTCATAAAGAACAGGTATATAGAAAACATACATTTTAATCAAATTAACACTGGCTAAATATTTAACCCACCACATGTCTTTCAGTTTGTCATACTGCGGTGGCTTGTGTGTTGCTGTGATAATGGAAGCTTTGCCACCAGTGTTTCAAATACCAGCAGGGTCACCCTTGGTGGATGGGTTTCAGAGGAGCTTCCAGACTAAGAATAGGAAGAAGGACCTGGCAGTCTATTTCTGAAAAAATTGGCTAGTAAAAATGTTATAAATAGCAATGGAATGTCATCTGATATAGCGCCAGAAAATGAGCCCATCAGTCGGAGGGACTCAAAATACAACTGAGGAAGAGCTGCCTCCTCAAAGTAGAGTCAACCTTAATGATGTGGATGGAGTCAAGCTTTCAAAACCTTCACTTGATGATATGGTACGACTCCAAATGAGAAGAAACAGGTGCAAACATCCATTAATAATTGGAATGTGGAACGAACAAAGTATGAATCTAGGGAAATTGGACATTTCAAAAATGAAACAGAATGTGTAAAGATTGATATCCTAAGCATTAGTGAGCTGAAATGGACTGGTATTGGCCATTTTGAATCAGACAATCATATGGTCTACTATGCCAGGAATGACAAATTGAAGAGGAATGGCATCCCATTCACTGTAAAAAAGAACATTTCAAGATCTATCCTGAAGTACAACGCTGTCCAAAAACCATTGCCATTGAGTCAATTCCAACTCATAGTGACCCTATAGGACAGAGTAGAACTGCCCCGTATGGTTTCCAAGGAGCAACTGGTGGATTTAACTGCCAACCTTTTGGTTAGCAGCCCAGGTCTTAATCTCTGGGCCTCCAGTGATAGGATAATATCCATACATCTACAAGGAAGACTAGTTAATATGACCATTATTCAAATTTACGCACCAACCACTAAGGCCAAAGATGAAGAAATTGAAGTCTTTTACCAACTTCTGCATTTTGAAATTGATCAAACATGTCATCAAGATGCATTGATAATTACTGGTGATTGGAATGTGGAAGTTGGAAACAAAGAAGGATTGGTAGTTGGAAAATATGTCCTTGGTGATAGAAACTGGAGATTGCATGATAGAATTTTGCAAGACCAACAACTTCTTCATTGCAAATACCTTTTCTCAACAACATAAACTGTACATGTGCACCTCATCAGATGGAAATACAGGAATCAAATCGACTACATATGTGGAAAGAGAGGATGGAAAAGCTCAATATCATCAGTCAGAACAAGACCAGAGAACAGACCATCAATTGCTCATATGCAAGTTTAAGTTGAAGCTGAAGAAAATTAGAACAAGTCCATGAGAGCCAAAGAGTAACCTTGAGTATATCCCACCTGAATTTAGAGACCATCTCAAGAATAGATATGACACATTGAACACTAATGACCAAAGACCAGACAAGTTGTGGAATGATATCAAAAACATCACACATAAAGAAAGTGACAGGTCATTAAAAAGACAAGAAAGAAAGAAAAGATCAAAACTGATGTCAGAAGAGACTTTGAAAGCTGCTCTTGAATGTAGAATAACTAAAGCAAAAGGAAGAAATAATGAAATAAAAGAGGTGAACAGGAGATTTCAAAGGGCAGCTCAAGAAGACAATGTAAAGGATTATAATGACATGTGCAAAGAACTGGAGTTAGAAAACCAAAATGGAAGGACATACTCAGTATTTCTCAAGCTGAAAGAACTGAAGAAAAAATGCAAGCCTCGAGTTGCAATATTGAAAGATTCTAAGGGGAAAATATTAACGCAGAAAGCATCAAAAGAAGATGGAAGGAATACACAGAGTCACTGTACCAAAAAGAATTGGTCGACGTTCCACCATTTCAGCAGGTAGCTTATGATCAAGAACTGATGGTACTGAAGGAAGAGGTCCGAGCTGCACTGAAGGCATTGGTGAAAAACAAGGCTCCAGGAATTGACAGAATATCAATTGAGATGTTTCAACAAACGGATGTAGTGCTCTAAGCGCTCACTTGTCAATGCCAAGAAATTTGGAAGACAGCTACCTAGACAACTGACTGGAAGAGATCCATATTTGTACCCATTCCAAAAAAGGTACATCAAGAGAATGCGGAAACTATTGAGCAAAGTTACAATCAAAGAGCAACGGGGACTGACTTGTTTCTCAGACCTGCCGTTCTGTGAGTATTCTTCCTGCTTGTAGTTGGGAAGAGGAGAGGTATTTAATGCAAGAAATTGGTTACTTACAAAACTGATGAAAGGGCTTGGGGTGGAGGAGATTGTAGGAGCCTCAGGAAATCTCTGCTATGTCCTCAGCTGGCTGGAGCTCTGGAGGGGTGAAGCTGGTCAGGTACACATTAAAGGTGTGAGTCTGCCCTTTTGCTGACAGAGCACTCATGGCTTCGACTTTCCTTCCTGCAAAGTGCTAGTCAAAGGAGAAGCCTAAACTGGGATCTGATGCCAGGGCATCTGGGAAATACAGTTTCAACACTTCCAACCCTGTGACATAAGGAAGAGCATACAAGTGGTGAAATCGTGCAAGATGCTAATAAGCAATCCTGCACTCGGATCATTAATAAAATGGAGGAGTGGAGATACTTGCTCCTTAGAGTGGTGTAATTCCACATTTCCAGCTTAGAATATAGAGCGATTAGTGTTTAAATAATCTATACTTCCATCTCTCAGAGCTGCCCATGACAAAGGAAAAAGAAAATTTACTTCCTACTAGGTCTGGTCTAGTTCTTGGTATATAAACGTTAAAAGCAAGAATGAACGTAAAACATTATCTATGAATTTTAGTGGTAATGATAATGATATATTAAAAACAAAACAGCTTCCATTTCCCTTCAGAGGAACAGACCCTCTGACAATAGGGTGCCTTGCCATCAGCACCAATACTGTTCGTGTTGTAAGAGCGCCACTTCACTGCCAAGCATCATTGCTGTGCCTGAGTTTCCTCTGTATCAGATCGAATTGGAAGTAGACTGAGTTGCCCCAAAGAAATCTCTTGCATCGTCCAGAGGTCTGGAACACGGAAATAAGCCAGGAGTTATATTTTCAGTTAAATTCAAGATAGACAAAAAAATTAGCTGAAAGTTTCTGCTACAGCTACTCTCTGAGGTTAGATTAGATTGGTACGATGAAGTACTGTAGAGAAGTCTGCATGCTGAAGTTCCAATATCTTAGAAACAAGATTCTTTCTGCCATAAAACAATACTGAAAGGCCAAGGCATTGGCATCTAGAATAAAGAAAACAAAAAAACAGAAACAAAAAACAAAGCAGTGCTGTAAAGGGGGCCTTTTGTTCTTTTTTTCAGTGTATGCACAGTAGATGCCAAAGTAATTGAGGAAGGGGATAAACAGAAGAAAATGTGCCAAAGACTAAACTATCTTTAGGTCCTACAAACACTGGTAATGTAACAGAAGTAATGATGTAAGTAAGATATCGACATGGCATTCAAATGCAATATTTAGCCATCATACAAATCACGTCTGCCTATTAGAATTCACATTACACATTTCATGCCTCAGATGATTGAGATGAACGACGATGACATTTTCTCCCAGGAGGTGTTATGTATCCTCAAAGACCCTCTAAGCATTTGATAGGTGTTTCTGTTATTATAACAGTTAAATGAAGTCCATCTTGTTCCAGAATGTCATCACACCCCTCTTCCTTTTTCTCCCACCCCACTCGCCAGTTAGATGAAGGAACTTGCTAACCTGGAACTTGCTTAGTTATGCTGGGTCCCTATTCAAGACACACTTAGACCCAAACTACTCCACAACCATACCTCTCCTACTGCTCCACACACACACAGATTGGATTAAGGGTTTCATAGGCATATGGTTTTAGTTATAAAACACATCAGGTTAGAGCATTCAAATGTGTATTTGGGTAGTGTTGGTGGGTAAATTAATGACCACCACCACCACCCCCCACTCAACGTACACTGCAGTGGTGGAGGAACCCAGTGTATGCTAGAGTAAAGACTTAAAGACTGGGGTGGAATGTTTCCTTAACCTATGAGGTGTGTGTGTAGCAGGGTAGTGGTGGGGAACAGAAACAGAAAAATGGAACTGGAAATGCCTGGATCAAAGTTTCCAGTATCAGCTGCAACAGATTATTGGTAGACCACTGCAGTCTTGATAAGTGTTATGTATTACCTGGGTTGCCAGGGTCAATGGAAGGCAGATCCTAAGAACATTAAGATTTTTCAATACATTTTAGCTTTCTGAGAATACAATTCCTGATTATAATATGTAGTTTCATTGTTTTATTTTCAAATATGTTTTAAAAAGCACGTTAAAGATGAAAGTATGGACTCACCCACAACTGCCTGCCTGTAGCCGTTTTATGAGCCCAGAAACTAGAAGATACCTCCCTCCCCAATTCCTCATAACTAGAGGAAAATTTAAAACATTGTATGAGGTTTTATGAGAAAAGAGAGTTTTTGATATCAGGTTTCTTATATTAAATCTTCTGTTAATTAAACTTCTTCATATAATTCTCTGTTCAAGACTGATATTAAGATAAGGTGATCATGAAAAACAATCTAGATCCCTGAGTAAAGTAATATATTCAGATCAAAAATGACTAGAGTAAGCGTCATTGCAACCATGACAAGATTAAAAAAGACATATTACAAATGTGTTCACATCTTGTTTTATATATATTACATATACCTAGATGCATGCATACACACATATATGTATATATATAAATCTTTCTAAATCAATATACATAATCATTTTTAATATTGTTTCAATAAATAAAATGA